AATTCGTCGTAATAAAGCGATCGCCGACAATCGGGCCGATTACGCCAATGAACGTCCAATGTGGAAGGCGTATGCGGTATGCGGCATGCGCCGCGCGGCCGGCCGGCCCCATCGATGTTTCTATGATTCTCAATAAAGCGCTTCGACGTTCGCGTCTGCCGCTGACGTCGACGCCGCCGTCGATGTTCGGCCGCCCCGTTTCGCCGTGAAGCGATTCCAACGGCGTCTTACGTAACCAGCTGCCGGAATCGAAACTAACTGGACGCGTTGTGACGCGACACGGCGAGAGGGGACGCGTTCAAGGAACGACGTCGCCGCGGCAAGGATCGAGCCGACTCGCGGAAAATTCACGACCTATACCAATGTCGGCGGCGAAGACGTCGCGTTCCGAACGAATCTCCGGAAACTCGACGGCGAAACGAAACGAAATACAGGGCGCCACAAAAATGTCTCGCGATCCGAAAGTGGCGAGTTCCTCGGGTCATTTGAAGCAACTTTTTCCTTTAGAGAAATTTTCTCCGAGGCACCGTTAACGAGATATTAACGAGAAACAGTGGCCAATGAGAGGCGAGCTCGGCTAGCGCGAGGCGACCGAGCCAACGAGCGGGACTGGGCTTCGTGCGCTGGTTGGCTGGGCCGCCTCGCGTCAGCCGCACTCGATTCTTATTGGTCACTGTTTTTCGTTAATAACTCGTCAACGGTGCCTCGGAGAACATTTTTGTAAAGGAAGAAGCTGCTTCAAATGATCCGAGGAACCCGCCATTTCCGGATTGCGAGACATTTTTGGGACACCCGGTAGAATGAAATGGAACGGGATGGAATGGAACGAGGAACGGGTAGGAGAAGAGGTGACGAGCAACGTCGAGGATCTGCCGTCGCGAGATCGCCTAGGGAAAATCAAGGGGTGGCGAGTAATTAAGATTACCACGAATAGAAATTATCGTCGGATTAAGCGCGTTATCGTGGTACCGCTAACAGCGGGTAGACCGGGAGAGTGCCACGGCTTAACAATGGTAAATATCGTNAATGTTCGTTTCTCGAACCTAATCTCGGCCGAGTCGACCAGAGTGTTCCGGATTCGTCCTGAACACACCGTCTCGCGCGTTCTCCTATCGCCGAACCGGCGAAGAATCGCCGAAACGCCGAATCGTCGGCGAGCCGTCGAAGAGCCTTTCGATTTACGGCCCGGGGAATAAAGCCCGGGACCACGGTCCAATAACCTTGACGATTGGTAGGGGAAACGGTGGCAGGACAGCCGCGAATATCAACAAGTTCGAACGAGAGGGAATAGACTGCGGGGAGGATCGGCTTCGGCGACTCGCGACAGAACTTTGATCGCCGGCGCGAGCTCCTTCGGCTCGCGATCTCGTCGATCGAACGCATCGAAAGTCAGTCCCGACAAATTGACGATAATTCGCGACCGTTTGACATCGGTTGACATCAAAATCAATTCGTCGTAATAAAGCGATCGCCGACAATCGGGCCGATTACGCCAATGAACGTCCAATGTGGAAGGCGTATGCGGTATGCGGCATGCGCCGCGCGGCCGGCCGGCCCCATCGATGTTTCTATGATTCTCAATAAAGCGCTTCGACGTTCGCGTCTGCCGCTGACGTCGACGCCGCCGTCGATGTTCGGCCGCCCCGTTTCGCCGTGAAGCGATTCCAACGGCGTCTTACGTAACCAGCTGCCGGAATCGAAACTAACTGGACGCGTTGTGACGCGACACGGCGAGAGGGGACGCGTTCAAGGAACGACGTCGCCGCGGCAAGGATCGAGCCGACTCGCGGAAAATTCACGACCTATACCAATGTCGGCGGCGAAGACGTCGCGTTCCGAACGAATCTCCGGAAACTCGACGGCGAAACGAAACGAAATACAGGGCGCCACAAAAATGTCTCGCGATCCGAAAGTGGCGAGTTCCTCGGGTCATTTGAAGCAACTTTTTCCTTTAGAGAAATTTTCTCCGAGGCACCGTTAACGAGATATTAACGAGAAACAGTGGCCAATGAGAGGCGAGCTCGGCTAGCGCGAGGCGACCGAGCCAACGAGCGGGACTGGGCTTCGTGCGCTGGTTGGCTGGGCCGCCTCGCGTCAGCCGCACTCGATTCTTATTGGTCACTGTTTTTCGTTAATAACTCGTCAACGGTGCCTCGGAGAACATTTTTGTAAAGGAAGAAGCTGCTTCAAATGATCCGAGGAACCCGCCATTTCCGGATTGCGAGACATTTTTGGGACACCCGGTAGAATGAAATGGAACGGGATGGAATGGAACGAGGAACGGGTAGGAGAAGAGGTGACGAGCAACGTCGAGGATCTGCCGTCGCGAGATCGCCTAGGGAAAATCAAGGGGTGGCGAGTAATTAAGATTACCACGAATAGAAATTATCGTCGGATTAAGCGCGTTATCGTGGTACCGCTAACAGCGGGTAGACCGGGAGAGTGCCACGGCTTAACAATGGTAAATATCGTTAGCGCGACTGTAATTGGAACACCAGGGAGAGGAGTCGCCGCTGTAACTCGAGCGTTCAATTAAGAGACAGACTCTTAACCCGCTCGAATCGTACGTTTCCAGGCGTCGAATCTTCGTGCAGTCTGTGCCCGTGTGTCCGAGTTCGAGTCCGAGCCGGCACAAATTGTTGGAAATTAACGAATCCCGAGGGGCAGGGGGGGAGGCAGGCTCTCTTTCGGTTACCACCGAGCGCAGCTTGTTCGCCGCGTATTATTTTTAGCGGCGTTTTAAACGCTAACGTCATCGGTCAATCGTCGCGACGCGGGTCGTCCGAAACGAGGTTTCGCGATCGATTCGCGTGGGATTCGTCCCTCGGTCTAGATTCCGATCCGATCGCCTAGATCCCGCGGTTTTCGACCGGCGACGTTCGTTCGCTGGCGACGAATCGCTTCGCGGAGAACGGAGAAGCAACCGGTGTTGCGGTGTTATCGCTCTATTTGCTGAAAGTATTTGCGTATTTTCGCGCGGCGTTCGAAGCGATCGGACTCGGCAGATTTTTCCGCGAACCTGCGTGGATTTCGCAGGGGGAAGGGTCTCGCGCGAAGGGAGAAACGGAGGAACGAAGGGCGGAGAACGAAAGAGCGAGAGATATAGAAACAAACCGGCGCTCATGAATTTTAATGGGAGCTTGGTAGGCGATCCATTGGCGCGCGTTACGCGGACAAGTGCAACGAGTTAGCAGCGGGTATCGTCGACTCGATAGAAAGAGGGAAATTCGGCGAACCAGTTGCCGTCTGTTCGTGCTCCTTTGTATATATCGGGATCCCTGTCTGCCCGAGGAGACGGATAGTTTCGATGCGTGACGGATTAAAGAGAGACAGCGAGGCGCGATGGAAAGGGAACGGTGAAAGATAAACGATGAACGGGGCACGGAATCTCCGGTCTCGGTCGCCCCGAAACTGAAAGGGGTGCGCAAAGGCACTCGTGTGTCTCGTGTCCCGTGGCCCGTGTCCCATGTTTCGTGCACGGTGCACCGTATATAGCGTGTCGCGTGTCCCGTGCGTGTCATCGCGTCCCGCACAGCTTCCGATTTTATCGCGATCAGGTGTCGAACACTTGTTCCGCGCTCGATGCATCATCCGCGATGAAACGCCCTATCCTGTAATCGGCGCGTTCGACTTCCAGCGACTTCCTTCGCACCGGATCGGGCTGGATCGCAACGAACCGGACAGGCCGCCGGTAATCAAGACGATCGAGCGCGATAAATCACTCGCGAGATATAAATTACCGTCGGCGATCCGATATCGATAAGACGTAATTCGGGATAATAGGGAGGAACGCGAACAAGCAGGGGAGCGGAGCTCGTCCGTCGTGGCCGGGCCCGTGGGAGGATCTATAAGTCTTCATTTCCGAGAAACCCCAATAGATTTCGATTAACCGTGTCGATCCACACGTCCGAACCAATCGCGGAATTTTTCTTCGTTACGACGCGACGGACCCGGCCCGGACCTTTTTCTTACGCTGCTTACGCTGCGAGAATTTCCGCGCGTTCTCGTCGCGAAGACAGCGACGGTCGTCCGATGATTCCGAAATTTCGACATTTTCTTGGAACGCTTTCGGTATTGTTTGCGATCGTTTCACCGAATCGGTCGTATGGACGCCTCCGAACGGCGTCGACGTTTGAAACATCGTACCGATCAACATCGTCGCTCATAGATCGTTCGCAGGACAGAGTTCTTCGATCGATTTCAGCCATTTCACGGAATCGGTAATAACCGAAGGCGGCATTCGCGCCGCGAGAGGAAAAAACAAGCGTACGCGTGTATGCACGCGAGGCAATTAAACATTCCGCGACCATATGGAATCGCGTGAACGCCGGCCACGGTTATTATCGATTCGATAAAACGAGCGAATCGGTGAAAAAACCGCGGCGCGTGAACGAGCTGTTACGTGGGAACCAACTCGCGGAATGTATAATAGAATAGAACATTCGGCAAGTTCGTAGAACGGTGACCTTCTTCGCGTTCGATATTCCGCGAACGTTCTTTTTAACGCGTGTGGTGCTCCCGATATGAATGTAACGCGCGAACGTGCGACGATAAGCCGACGCGGAAAACCGGCTTCTTGCCCAGACCGGAAACTCTCAGCCACGCGAACACGGTTCGGATAGCTTTTCAATTTGCCGTTGGCTCTCCGCCGGTACTCTCTCTCGATGGAGCCGATAACTTGTCTTTCTCGAGAGCGACTCTCGATAATTTTACTCTCGGATGAACACGCACCCTCGGCTGCGTCTCCGTTCGTCTCGCCGCGATTCCCGTCCCCGTTAACGTAACATCATTATTAGGCCCGGAGAACGAGCGCGCGAACCTTCCCGGGGAACACCCCGCCGCGTTATTAATGGGGTATTTTGGTATTTTCTTCGGCGGCCGCTCGGAGCTTTGGCACACGTCCGACTCTCGACGCGACGGGACCCGCGACGTTTTCAGACACGAATCTCGCGTGCCGTTCGAATTCGGATCCGCGGGGGTACGTGAACGAAGAGACTTACCCTCGCAGGTGAACTGGCCGTAGTGCTTGCCGCTGCTCTTGTCCCCGCAGACGACGCATTCGATGTTGGGGGACTTGTCGGTTTGCGAGCTGCCCGACTGGGAGCTGTTCGCCTGGCTTCCGGGAGTGGTGCTGGGCGGCAGCGGGTCCCTGGGCGTGAGAACCGCTCCGGCGGGCACCAGGCAGGTGATGTCCTCCGGCGTCGCGGAGGGTGTCAGGTGGGTCGGAGGCATCGGCGGCGGCGGGGCGATCTGGATGGGGCCCGGACCCGGGCCCGGGCCGGCGCCGGCGGCGGAGGCGGCCGCGGCCGCGGCGCCGGCTGCAGCCGCGGCTGCCGCAGCGGCGGCTCCGGTCGCGGCCAGGCTGGCCCCGGGGTCCCGAGAGGGCCACGAGGGCGGCGCGGCTACCAACGCCATGGAGGCGGTGGTGCCGCGCGCCGGGAACCCCACCTCCAACGTGGTGGTGAACTCGGGGTGGTGGTGTCCCGTCGACACCCGGCCAGGGAACAACGTCGCTGTCGCGGCCGGGTAAACCACCCCGGCAGTCGCCAGGGCGTCAGCGCCTCCTGTCCCGCCTCGAACCACCCTGCCGGCTTCCTGTTCGCGAGAGCGACCACCGGCTCCTCAAACCCTTCGCCGGATAGATACTTCTCGGTCGCGCGATTCCGCTTCCCTTTCTGCCTCTTCTTCCTCCTCTTCCGCTTCTTCCTCTTCTCTTCGAATGCTTGCCAGAGCCTGGCGCACCCGCGCGAACCGCCCTTCCGAGAACTTCTCGAGACAGGTCCTTCCACTTTCCTCGTATCTTCCCGCACGGTTCCGTGAACTGGCTTCCCAGTTCCAAAGCACTTCTCTCTCCGAATCCCCGCGTATCTCGCGCACCACGGATCTCCGATGCGGCACACGATCCTCACTCACTCGCGCACTGTGCTAGGTCCTCGGATCGGGTTCGTCGCACCGTGCGGCATCTTCGTCGTTTCCTCGACACGGCTGGTCCCCGACCGTCGAGAAACGAGATCGCGAATCTGTGGGCTGTGTCTGGTCGGCGATTCACCCGCGGGCCACGCGATTCGCGACTCGCGATACACTCGACTCGCGAGTTACAAACGCACCGGTATATCGTTTCGATCGCGGTCCGTCCGCCGGGCCGTCCGCGACCGGCCGACTCTCTCGATTCCTCGCGACGGCACTTCACTCTCCCGAACGATATTCCGCTAAAGAAACTGGGGAACGCAGCTGCTACGGTTCACCACTGAACAACAACACTTTTTTCTTTTTCTTTTTTTTCTTTTTAAACAACCGCACCGGTACGGCGAACTCGATCGCACAGTTTCAAAATGGAGGCCCGAGATACGAACTCGCGGTCTGCGAAGGGATCGGGACCGGGACCGGGATCGGGATCGGGATCGGGATCGGGATCGAGATCGCGATCGCGCGCACGCGGTAGATCAACCGCGTATCCTCTCGTCGGTGTGGCCGAGGTATCGTGGTGTATCGACGCTGGGCGGATGCGCGGTGGCGCGAACCACCGAGACACGAGGCGGAGAGGGTGTGCGAGACTGTGCGCGCGGTATTCGCGGTACTCGCGGTACTCGCGCCGCGGGACAGACGGCTCGTCGATGGTGTACGTGCGGCGGGGAAGGGAGCGAACCACAGAGGGAACAGGGAACAGGGAACAGGGATCGGAGAACGGAGGACGAAGGACGGAGAAACGGAGAAACCGTGGCCGAAAGGACGCCGGTGACGGAAGGTGGGACCTGGAGGATCGAGGAGAAACAGGAGCGAGCGAGAAACCGCGAACGCGGGGGTGCGAGGGAGAGAGAGTGTGTGCGTGCGTGTGTGTGAGCGAGAGGGAGTGAGAGAGAGAGTGAGAGTGAGAGAGAGAGAGAGAGAGAAGGAGCGCGCGCGCGCGCGCGACCCAGTCGATAAGCTGCGCGTGTGCCTCTATGTTCCCTTTGCGCGCTCGTGCCGTCACAAGTAGGAGGAGGAGAAGAGAGGTGATACTCGACTACCGCCTCGATACGACTATTCTTGGGGCCGACCAGAGACCGACTGCCGACTAAGACGACCCCTGACACCGACCTACCCCCCACCAGCTCGAACTCTCTCGCGGGTTTCTCGCGGGTTTTCGCCGGTTGCCATGGCTACCGAAGGTGGGGTCGAGTCCCGGGCGCGCCCCGATGCGACTCTCATTGGCTGCGAACCTGCCCTACCCTCGCGCCCTCCGGCCGCTCTCCTTGCCGCTCTCGCCGCTCTCCTTGCCGCTCCGATCTAGCCGAGCGTCCTTCCGCGTCCACTTTGCCGCCGAAGAGCATAGCATACGCTCTTTCCTCTCCTCCTTTCCTCCTGTTCCCTTCTCCAACGAACCTCACTCTAGCCTGCCCCGTCTCTTCGCTACTCCACTCTGCTCTTCTCTACTCTTTTCTACTCTTCTCCACTCTTCCCTTCTTTTCGCTTCTCTTCTCTTCTATTCGATTCCAATTCATTCCCGATTCTGGCTAGCTTTTTTTGCTTCCTCCCTTTCGCTGCCACCCTCGCCCCGTCTCGCTCTCGCGTTTCCCCCCTTCGCTCTGCCTCCTCCCTTTCCGTCCGCCTTTTCCTATCGCGCTTTCCTTTGCTCGTTCTCCGTTCAATCGGAACGGTCCTTTGCCTTTTTTCAGCTTCTTTTTGCTCGTGCAGGGTTACCCGGTTTACCGATTTTTCGATACACCCGCTGAAATCGAACCAGTTTCGCGGACGCGCCGAATCGCTCGGACCTTTGTCGGCACCTTTTTCGGTCTCGTAAAAACCTCTGTGTCTCGCGTGCTTTTCTCGTTGAACGAAGCGAACGCATTCACTGGCAGAATGTCTCCTGTTCGTCGAAAAAATCGTTATCGATCGTCGCTTCGCGGCGAGAAATTTGAACACGGCGTCCTTAATCTTTCGTGGTTGAACAGTTTCGAATTTTTCGACGAGTCGAGCGATCCCGGTTTTCAATTTAGATCGTTCGCCGAAGCGTCGAATCGGCGAGAAGACGCGCGTCCAGCGAACTCGTTTAATAACGCGTTACGTAGTTGCGAATTGATGCTAGCGATGTACGATGAGAACGTTGCTGGTCCGTTCGGGTGGAGTACGAAGCAAATCTGTTCGAAGAGATTCGTCAAGGTTGAAGCAGGGGCTCGTACCTATAGTGGAACGGCATCGAACGTCTCGGTAAAATACGACGTTGGTAGGACGATAAGGGAATCGTTGCTCGTCTTTCGCGGATTTTCTTAGGTTTCCTTGGATACTTTTACGGGAGCAGTATTCTAGGTGGATCGCGATGCCATCCGGGAAACGGAGGAGGAAGACGGGTCACGGGGCGAGAGGGCGCGAGGGCGAGAGGGCGAGAGGGCGGCGACCAATGGGGACGAGGAGTCAAGTGGGGCGCGAAAAATGGGCCGGGCCGCTTCCATCCACCCCCGAGGCTAAGGGTGAGGGTAAGGGTGGCCGCGTGAGCAGCGGAGTAGGGTAAGCCGGCAGCCTCGAAGACGACCGGGCCGTCGTCGCAGGGTCAGTCGGGTCGCAGGCCTGAACCTCTGCGTTTCTGCGCCTTTGCGCTTCCGTGCTCTCGTGCTCTTTCACTTTTGCCCTCTAATCTCTCCCTCGCTATCTCTCCTGCATTCTCCGTTTCAGCGGTTTCACCGACGCCGCGGCCAATTTACGAGAGTAACGGATCTAACGTCGCGATCTTGCCGCCTCGCGCTCGCCGTTAACGACACCGTCGCACGATTTAATGCGATTTCGTTCTCGAAACCGTGGCGTACGCGCGCCGCTTCTTATCGACCGCAAATATCATTCGATATTTATTCATTCACGGAAGGAAATCCCTTCGGAACACTAACAATAGATCGCGAGGAGACGCGAAGACGATGCACCCGACGCTCGAAACGGCTAGAAAAGAAGTCCATCCGCTTGCAGTAGATGTTTAAATTTCTAAAAATCCAGTTTAAGCTGTTACCGTCGTCGCACTAACTATCTACAACGTGATACGATTCTCTCGTTTTAATATAGTATGTTGTTCGATGGACGTCCGGGATAAAATCAAGCAAAAGCGGCGTAGTAACAGCGTCTGCTTATCGCCGGATTTAAGGATCGATCACCGTTTTCGCGAAGTCTGCTCCAACTTCGACCAAAAAATACGAACATTCTTCGTTTTTTCTCAGCATGGCTTTCGATACTCGAAATTTTACTTCGTTGCTGTCATCTAGAACGATTTCGAACAGCGATCTGCAGCGATCTTCTCGAGATGAATCGCGATCGAATTTGCAAGGACGAAACGGAGCGGCAACGAGAACACGAAGATCAATTCAGAAGTAGAAGTTAGGAGGAAACGGCTATCGAATTTGCGTTCTCGTAGCGAAACGGTTAACGGTAACGCGATCTTCCGCCGATCGAACCGGTAAATGCCGTGGTAGCCGGGCGGGGGTCAACTTTAGGTTGCCTTCGTCCGCGGTCGAACGTTTCGCGGGACTGCTGCACGAACATCTGTACGATCGAGCAGCAGCCGGGATCCGAAGGTTCTCCTTCCTGGTAGTTACCGACTCGGATGATCGCGGATCGAAGATAGGCGATTCGGTATGTTTTCGAAACAGCTACAGTAATGTCTCTCTAATTGCCGCTCAAATTGTCCATTTCCTGTCTCTTATACACATCTAGATGTGTATAAGAGACAGGAAATGGACAATTTGGGAAGAGAAGATACGAGTCTGTCTCTTATACACATCTAGATGTGTATAAGAGACAGGAAATGGACAATTTGGGAAGAGAAGATACGAGTCTGTCTCTTATACACATCTAGATGTGTATAAGAGACAGGAAATGGACAATTTGGGAAGAGAAGATACGAGTCTGTCTCTTATACACATCTAGATGTGTATAAGAGACAGGAAATGGACAATTTGGGAAGAGAAGATACGAGTCTGTCTCTTATACACATCTAGATGTGTATAAGAGACAGGAAATGGACAATTTGGGAAGAGAAGATACGAGTCTGTCTCTTATACACATCTAGATGTGTATAAGAGACAGGAAATGGACAATTTGGGAAGAGAAGATACGAGTCTGTCTCTTATACACATCTAGATGTGTATAAGAGACAGGAAATGGACAATTTGGGAAGAGAAGATACGAGTCTGTCTCTTATACACATCTAGATGTGTATAAGAGACAGGAAATGGACAATTTGGGAAGAGAAGATACGAGTCTGTCTCTTATACACATCTAGATGTGTATAAGAGACAGGAAATGGACAATTTGGGAAGAGAAGATACGAGTCTGTCTCTTATACACATCTAGATGTGTATAAGAGACAGGAAATGGACAATTTGGGAAGAGAAGATACGAGTTATTCGAGCTTTTAGGGTCGTTTTTATGGTCATTGATTCTCAACGATTATAAAAACGGGCTACCAGGCTCGAATAATCGTATCTCCTCTTCCCAAATTGTCCATTTCTGTGCGCAATCCGAGCGTCAGTTAGGGAGACATATTACTGTACTTCTCTGGAAACTGTCTCTTTCGAGCGGAGCCTCGACTACCAGCGAGCTTTCGGCGATCGCGGTGTTAACAACCTTGGTTCCCGGTGCGAACGATTCGCGAATCGAGCAGCAAATACACCGAGGCCCGTTGGAGCGCGCGCGCGCGCGCGACGGCAAGAGTTTCGCAACGGCGCGATAGAAAACGTCTAAGCTCGGCGTTGCCTGCTCCGTTGCGAGATACGTCAGAAGTCGTATCGGGTAGATCGACGTGGCGCGATCGTTTCCAAGCGAGCGAGCGAACAAATAAAACTGCGGGACCGCGTTCGGCGAGGCCGAGATAATCGGCGCGAGGCGATGCGAGGCGATGCGAGGCGATGCGACGCGGCCGAGCGAGCGCTCGAAGATCGAGGGAACGCGTGATTCTCGGCACGTGCCGCAAAAACCGCGCGAATCGGTTCGATCGCGGAGAAAAGATATACATGGCTCGCTCGCCCCGGCTCTGGGGGGCAGCGCGGCACAAGACGTCACGACGCATCGCGAGAGGGAAGGCTTCGGGTAATCGCGTTTGATCGTTTGTCGAAGCAGAAACGCTCGAGAACGACCGAGTACCACGGGCAACGAGAGAGAGAGAGAGCCGAAGAGAAGCGTGGAGAGCCGAAGAGGGAAAGAGAGAAAAAGCGAGAGGGAGCAACCAAGAGAACGAGAGTGCCTAATGGTCGTGTCGGGTCTACAGGATGGTCGGCGAGTCTGTGGTGTGCATAACGCGAGGAGGAGTCGAGGGTGGTAAACCTGGTAGCGTGGACGAGGGCAACCGAAAGAGAGAGAGAGAGAGAGAGAGAGAGAGAGAGAGAGAGAAAGAGAGAGCGCGAGAGAATGAGCTGGGGGTCAGAAGAGGGAACGGGGGACAAGGACGGGCCTCGAAGGAGGGGAGCAAAGGGGGTTGGCGCCGCGTACAAGTGCATATCGGTGAAGGGGTGGCCGAACAATGCGCTCGTTCAATGCGCTCTAGATATGATTACCGGAAACCATCCCATAATTACTTTTTGTACGTCGAAAACGTACCGAGCCCCATCGTGTCTCCCCTCCCCCTGCTCTTACCCCCGATTCTTTCCGCCGTTAAAACCATCGGCGGCCTACCGTCCTCGTTGTTCCTTCTGTTGCCCCCCGCCGACTCTCTCCCTCGCCTGCCCCCTCTGCCGCCAACCGCCGTCCCGTCTCTCTCTCTCTCACTCTCTCCCTCTCGCTCTCTATTTTGCCCGGTCTCTCGGCCGCCCTTAAAACACTCGCGTTTCGCCTTGCGTCGCGACAGCGACGAGAGCCACGGCCTCCTTCGCGTTCCGACCTGACACGCGTGATGCTTTTAAAGTGCCAACCAACGTTCCCGCGGCTCCCGAGATGATTTATCGAAACGCCGGCAGCCTTCTTCGATTCTCTTGCTTCGGCTTTTCGAACGGCTCTCGATTCTCATCGCGTATTCGCGTCCCCGCGCGACCACGCGACGTGGCGACCGTTGCACCGCGGCTACGCTCCGCGCGCGCGTTTGGCAAAGCACCGTCAATTATTAAATATTCAAGCG